AGGTGCTTCATTTTGTACTGTAGTGCTTAAGGAAATAAATTGGAAAGTTTTGAGAGAGGTGTTGCTTGATGTCCCGTCGCCACGACAAGCTTTATTAAAAATCTACTGTTGTTTTAATAAATCTCCAGCTTTTTTGTTGAACATCTACTGCTTTTTTCTTCAGCCAGGTTGGCAGGTATGCTGAGCCAGTTACTAAGCAACATTAATATTAGTATGTATTTCTTGTGCTCTCGACTCTGGTAAGCATAGGTATATTATGTCCTATGCCTCCCATAATAGACAAATTGGTATGTCACATCCTCAAAAAAATCTAAGGCTGGTGGGGCAAGATCTGCTCCTTCCAAAGCTTGTTGGCTGACATTAATTAGGCAGGTTTTGAAAGGGGAAAAAGTAGAAAGAGAGGGAACACATCCAATTCAAAGGACTACCCTCCTTATATTACATGTCATATTTAGAAAAACATTTCATATCTTTAACAAAATAACATCACATACTGAGAATTACCGGCTTTCAACTCTCTCCCCTTTACCTGGGCCATGAATAATAATAATAATAATAATAATGAAAACATTTATGCAATTTTAATTTCTAAGTTGCCTTGCAAGTCAAGTATAGAAGTACTTTGTGTGGATGCTCTTATTAAATACCATACATCCAGATTCCCTGTTTGCATAACCATGTATAGAAATATGATTTTACAACAGGATTGTTTTAGGAGGAAAGCTAAGAGGTATGATCTATGAAAGCTCTTTGTAACTTGGGAATCACTAAATTTGCAATGCTTATTATGGAAACAACACTCAAAGGCTAATGAGGTACGCTATTATGTTGGTGAGCTCAGCAACACAAAAGAAGCCTCATAGTCATAAGATCTTTTATTCTGCTAATGAACATAGGGAACAGCTTGTTGTAAAATGATCCAATCCTTATTCTGAATTCTCACCATTATATCGAGTAAATCTGTACTCCTTCAGGCAAGAATGCATTGGATTATCTCTTTTTCACACCTGCAAGCTATTTTGGAAGGTCCTTTTCTTGGTCCATGACACCCTGTGTGTGCAGTGAAAGTATCACTGTAATGGTGTCTTTCCAAATGAATTTTCACAAAGCGATATTTGGTTACATGGCTCTTGCTGTTTATTCCTCCATCTTGGTGAGCTTTAGAATTTTTTCACTGGATTTTATTTTACAGCAGATAAGATCAGCATTTTCCATAATTTGATCTCACTCCAGCCTATCGCACCTAAGAGGGGGCTTGTTGTCTTTTTGATGGTTTCAAACTCTCCAGCTATTTTGTTTTGGTCAGCCAGGTGTGCCACACATGCAGAAACCCATCACCATGTTTAAAGGATCTAAACCTGACTATGCGTCCTACATCTGTATACCACCAAAACATGAAAATTTCCTTGTGGAAATGGAATGTATACTTTCCTTCTGGAGGGACGTCCCTGCTTGCCTAATTCCAAAGAGAATTGGGAATATTTTGCTGAGAACAAGTCTTGGGGACATCAGAATGTCTGATGGGAGTACCGTTGGGAGTTTAAGAAGCTAAAATTGCAGTGTGCCATCGAGAGCAAGCCATCTGGCAAGCTTCCCACTGCTTCTTCGGGCTTTGGTTTGCAGGGTTAACAGGAGCAGGGTTAACTGATCTGCCCTCAAAGTCTTACTGCTGAGCCTGACTGATGAGCTGGTGTGTCACCAGTAGTATACACCAACCCGAAATAGAGGTTGCTATGGATGAGATGCAGTAGAGCCATGGCAACCTTTATTTCTATTATTGAATCATTATTGAGGTGCGTTTCTTGGGCAGTTTGTTTGCTCTATGCCAGCAAAGTTCACCAAAAATGAATCCATATTTACAATGTGCAATGGATGTCTGAATGTATCTGACATGGTAATGAAACTATCCACGTAACATTTAATTCTCATAGTTGAATCTCTTTCAGTGTCATGAATTTTGTTCATCCACATATGAATGTGAGATGATGCCAGTGAGGTTATGGTTTAAATTCCTGGTGACTAGCCAAAGATTTTTTTATGTAGCTTGCTACAGGCTTGCTCATCAATTCTGACACCATATTCTGTCAATAATTTTGATAAAATAAATTGCAATAAATTCAGTTTATAATAAAACAGGATTCATTCATCTGGCCAGTATAATTGTATATCTTGTTATAAAATCTCCCCAGACTTAATTATGGTATTCCTAACAGCTCTATTGAGCATACCTGTACTTAAAGTAACAACAAACTGCACCACACTGGGCACACCTATCGCAACAGGTATGTATATTCTGTTTGCTCAACTTTTGGCAAAATATAGTAATGTTATGGCTTCCATACTTTTCAAGGTTAATATTTAGTGACTATATACGCAGGGAAAATCATCAAAGAAACAACAACAACAATTTGCACTTATATAATGCCTTCCACATAAGGGAGAATTCACAAAGTGCTTTACAAAGATAGAATAGAAACATGAGCTGGGAGGTAGTAGATGTGTGTTTGTGTGTGTGGGGGGGAGGGGGAAATCGAAAGGCCACAGAGATAGATGAGTTTTAGATGTACTTTAGATCTTGACATATATTTTAAGCACTCCAAGATGCTACTCTGCTTGAAGGGCACTATCTAAATGTAAGTTGTTGTTGTTTAGAAAGCAGAGAAGAAGGGAGAGAGGCAGATGGATTTTGGAAGAGTTTCAGATGGCGGGGCAAAGAGGCTAAAAGCTTGGAGAAAATATGTAGGGTACACAAAGGTGCAATCATAATCTGGGAACACTGCCTGGTTTTCCTTAATAATAAAGCAACAAGTCAGAAAGACAGTAATGCAAATATTGGCAATACTTCAGGAATGCAGACTAAACACAGAGCTAAATAATGTACTCAACTTGAATTTGAACTAAATGGAATGAATACTTAGTGAAACTAGTAATCAGCTCCAAAATGCATGAGAAGTTACATTCAGTACTAAATAGTTTAATGGTATTAAAGAAATTATGCTAATTAAGATGCACTTCAAAATTAAATTCAGAAGAAAACATATTTGACAGCTAACAGAACACATAAATCGGCCCAGTCAGCACTCTGCAGTTACGTCGTTAATCTTGACAATATCACTAGTTACAAAATGGAGCATAAATAAATTTTAAAGTTAGAATAGAAATATAACATTGTTTAAGTAATACCATTTGGTTGAATGCTGATATCATTGAATCTTGTTTCAAAACAGTCTCAGATGGGGGATGTTAGCACTTGAACCTACATATCAAGGTTAGCAGAAATACCCCAAAGATTTTCAGGTTGATACATTTACAGGCCAACAGAAACAGCTGGGACAATATATCACTGTTCTAACTTTGGAATGGAAATATAAATATAGGAAAAACTTTTATTGAGTATATTGTGGAAGGTTTTCCAATAAAGGTCAGAAAATACTGGTTAGACAAGAGAGTTGAAATTGTAATTTTTTCTCTAACGATCTTCCATTCTCTACTCATAACTGCACATGTTTTCCCATGTAACAGTATTTGGACCACTATAAGAGGATGTCCACTTACGCTAATCATAAAGATGTAATAGATAACATACAAGCCAGGTCTGTACTGCCTTGGGACATCCTCCTGACGTGAAAGGCGCTATACAAATGTAATTTTGTAGTTGTTTGTTGTTGCCTGTATGAGGTCTGTTTGAATACCATTCGCTTGGACTTTGTACAAGTTGAGCTTTTCCTCTTATGCATATTTCCTTTAACATTGGCAATCTTGGTTCTTGGTTACTCAAATAAACTTGTGGTTTAGGCTTCAGACAGCTCAGCTTGAACTTGAACAAAGTCAGATTATTGTGAATGAGTCCCGCAAGAGGCTGATCTGGAGTCCAGTAATACTTATTCAATACAAGAGTGAATGGAACTACAGTATTGAGACAAATCATCTGTTTTCCTCATACAAAAGTTACTTGTATGTATTTGACGCCATTCACCCTCATTAAGTGAGGTCTAATCTGCAATACTGCATTTGCAAGACAGCGGCTGCTGTTTTGCTCGTTGGCCTTTATTCGGACTTTGTTGTGAACCCTCTATCCTTCTCCACTCTCTCCATCCTATCTCTCTTCCCTGCTCTGTCCTTTCCTGCTTTCACTCTTGCCTATCCCAGGGTTTTCATTATGTCTTCTCCAATAACTTCTCCTGTCCCTGCAATCACATGTGAAGTTCCTCAGGGTTTTATTCTTGGTCCTCTTTCTCCCTTCGTGACATCATCTATAGGGATGAGATCCACTTTTATATGGATGACACCCAATTCCATCTCTGCCCTTCCCCTCAATTCCAGGATCCCTGCTGTTCTGACCGACAGCCTGTCAGACATCAAGTCCTGGATGAGTTTTAACTTTCCCTTTCATTACCATCACACACCTCCACCACTTCTTCTTGCCGCCTCCGTCCTACCCTTCCTATCTCCCTGCTTGATCAGGCTCCCACTCAGTCATTGTAAAGCGCTTTAAGCTGTTGTTTGTGACAGGTGCTATATAAGTGAAACTGTTTTTCTCTCATTAAGTTATTATCTTGGGTTGTAAGAAACAGACTTGTTGTTCATATTTCTCTGAAAAAGAGGTTTGAATCATCTAATGAAAAACTATCGCTGGAGAAGGAGAATGTGCACAACATCTATGCAGCCTTTTCATTGTGCTTTCTTATTGTCAGTTAAGTAACCCAATCCTTGTGTGATGCAAAGTCATGTGCCTGGCAATACAAAATGACTCTGCCAAATATGGTTTTATTAAAATAGCAGCGACTCTAAAGCATGTTGTCTAGCAGTACTTTCGTTAACAATGATATACTGAAGGCAGATTTTAAAAACTACCTATGCCAGAGGAATGCAGTGATAAGCAACATTATGTTTCTTCATTACCACAGTCCCATTACTTTAAGATCTGTGCAGACTGAGGTAATTGAGGCTTCGTCATCCTACCCAAATTGTAATCTGACTCTTGTTTCCTAGTAGAGGCCGATGTGATAGGATCATTGCTGTGTCTGTCACAGGGAGTACAAGGAAAGCAGGAGTGGCTGGATTGATTTTTAAATCAATTTTAAAAATTATGTAAAAAATTCCCTCAGGAAAGTTGAGCCTGTAAGTAAAGATTATTATTTTCCTAAAACATAACCGCTTTGTAGCTGTGAAACTTAAATTAACATTACCCTGGACATCTTTACATCCCAGATTTGAAAACATTGGGCCTAATTTATGGTAAGGAATCCTGTTAGAATTCCCGTTGGCCTACGGGAACCCCAATCCGTAGGTAAATTGTGTCAGAGTAGAGTTCCTGCAGGCCATTTGCAATGTACAGCACTTCCACTTACTGGAAGGAGTTCCTATTTGTGCAATTCCGGTGTGACAAATTAGATCCCATTGTTCTTTTCAAGCATTCATATATCACATGTATGTCTCCAAAGACTATTATTGTAGAACTTGAAAAGCCTGGAAAATTATATTGGTAAAGTAAATTCAGTTCTACAATGTTTTTAAATGTTAGGAGAAAGTGCATCTTTTGTAACTGGTGTGGAAAAACCTTTTGGAGGGAAGAAGAAAGGAGAGGAAATAGAGAGAAAAAAAAGCCTGGTATGTGGCACATTCCTCTCAACACATCACATCATTTTCTTTCATGAAGTGTAAACGGAAGGTAGAAACACCCTCATGTTCTCTATAATTTTAACCCAAAACTTAGTTTGTTTCACTTTCAATGATATGACTTGCATTTTAAAAAAACAAGCCTCCTCAATATTAAGAGAGTAACATTTTAAAATCTTTGTGTGAGCTTTTGTATTTCTCCCCAAGCAACACTAAACGAAATGAACTATGACCCAATAGGATTGTTCTGCTTGGTCTCCTTGGGACGTTCTCCCGACGTGAAAGACGCTATAAATGTAATTTTGTTGTTGTTGTTTTATGTATTTGAAAAAGATAAATAATTACCAAACAAGATTTTGTATGTTACACTGCAAAATGTGTTTATTAACATTCCGTTCCACAGAAATTAAATGAGAAGTCAATCTACCCAGAAAACTTAAAAATTTGTTTTCTGGACAAGTGAGGAGAAAAACAGGAGGGATTGAACAAGAGAACAAAAATAGACAACAACAACAACTTGGATTTACATAGCGCCCTCCACACCGGACGGCGTCTCAGAGCGCTTTACAGTAACGGATCCCGGGGCCGAGCCAGGGGGAGGGGGAGAAAGGTGATCAAAGGCGCGGTCGAAAAGAAAGGTCTTCAGCAGAAACCTGAAAGTAGGAAGAGAAGGGGTGAGGCGAAGGGAGTAAGGAAAGGAGTTCCGGAGCCTCGGGGCATAGTGGCTGAAGGCACGGCCGCCGAGGGTGGAGCGGAGGACTCAGGGAACAAGGAGGAGGCCAGAACTGGAGGAACGAAGGCAATGGGCACTGTTTTCAGGAGAGAGGTCAGAGAGGTAGGGGGGTGCAGAGGAGAGGAGGGATTTGAAGATAAGAGTGAGGATCTTGAAATCGATCCTCTCTGGGACAGGGAGCCAGGCCAGTCTGGCAAGGACTGGGGTAATTGGGGAGCGGAGATTGGTGCGGGTGAAGAAGGGCAGGTTTGAAATGTGGCGGTAGTGGCTGGGGTTTGAGGGATCTAGGAAAGGTTTTTTGAGGAGGGGGTGATGACAGCAGTTTTGAGGGGGGCAGGGACTGATTCGGAGGAGAGGGACTGGTTGATGACGTCAGCCAGTAGTGGGCAGAGGAGGGGGAACTGGGTGACCAGCAAGTTGGTGGGGAGGGGTCGAGGCAGCAGGTGGTGGGTTTCATGGAAGTGATGGTGGGTGAGAGGGAGGAGGGAGAGACAGTGAGGAAGAAATGTAGGATGGGGGTGGTGGTAGGAGCAGATGATGGGGAGGGTGAGGGGGACAGAGAGGGCGTGATGGTGGGTGACAAGAGGCAGGTGGATGAGGTTGCCTGGTGGATGTTGTGAATTTTAGATGAAAAGAAGTCCATGACCTCCTCGCACTTGGCATTTGATATGAAGATTGAGGAGGCCTGAGGGGGGGAGCACAGAAGAGGCAGTAGGTGGTGGAATAAAAGATTTTAGGGTTGTGTTTAGCCTCCAAGATGTTGTTGGAGTAGAAGGCTGTTTTTGCACGTGTCAAAGAACGGCAGTAGCTGTGGAGATGCTCGAGCCACAGTTGGCAGTGAACTGTCAGGCCAGTTTTCCGCCATCTGCGCTCGAGCAGCCGGGTTTGGGTGTTTTAGCGGCAGAGATGGTTGTTGTTCCAAGGGGATTGGGTGGGTTTGGAGATGGTCCTGGATTTCAGGGGGATGAGGGAGTTGAAGGTGGAGGAGAGGCGATCATGGAGCAGCTGGACGGCTGCTTCAGGATCTCCGCAGGTGGAAGGCCAGAGGGATAGGATGTTTGACGATGTTAGGGCCTGTGTGAGGGTCTCAGGGGGTAGCCTCTTCCAAGGGCGGTAGAGGATGGTTGAGGGCTTGGTGGAGGAGAGAGGGATATGAGAGGAGAAGGAGATGAGGAAGTGGTCCGAGATGGCCTTGTCCATAATGCTAAGGTCGGAAATGTCAAGGCCAGACACTGAGACAGTGGCCTCAACCATTGCTAAATTTTCCACCTCCCACCCCCTATTACTCTTGTTTCTGCCAAATATCGGTAAGCTATTATATCAAGTTAAAAGCAAATTTGCTACTGGTACAGTACTTTTGAACCAGAAAACCCTAAAATTAAAAATGGTTGCAATGCACAACCTGTGAATCAATATCCAAAAAGGAAAGATTTTTTCTGATAATTCATCAGAAGCTGCCAGTTCTCTCGTGGAGACTGTGATGTGTATACTGCGTGTGAAAGGGGCTTGTGTGTCAGGTTATTTGTATCTGTGTGTGAGAGAGAGACATGAGTATGAAGAGACAATTTGTGGGTGCGTACAATACAATACAAAATTACATTTGTAAAGCGCCTTTCATGTCGGGAGGCCGTCCCAAGACGCTGGACAGTCAGGAATTTGAACCTGAGCTGGGGTCGGGGAGGGTAGGGTAGGAGGGTGGCCGAAGGTTCAGTCGAAGAGGAGGGTTTTGAGACGTGCCTCGAAGGAGCCAAGGGAGGGAGCGAAGCAGAGGGAATGTGGGATAGGGTGAGGGCAGAAAAGCTGAAGGCCCAACTGCCAATGGTGGGGCAGGCCGGGCGGGGGACATGCAGCAGGCCAGCCTGCTGAGTGGAGGGAGTGGACTAGTTGATATGCGGACAGGTTGATATGGGGACAGCAGATCACAGAGGTAGGGAGGAGCAAGGCCCTCAAGGTGTATGGCGTCTGATGAGTGTGTGAGGGAATTATGTGTTCTGAGTGTGTTCTGTGAATATGAAAGGAGATCAGTGAGTTAGTGTATGTACCCTAAAGTTAGTGAATGTGAGTGGTGAGCTTGTGCCGGATTATGTGTGTTGGAATATATTAGTGTGCTCAATTGTCTGAGTGTGAGCAGATGTGAGTAGGTGAGTGGGCAGAAGTGTGTGAGAATAAATCCCACATTTGGGACTCCCTTCCTCACCTCCTGTTCTCTGTTTTCAAAGGCCATCTAAAAAAAAACTCCTCCTCTTCCACCATCTTCCTTCTTGATGCTCTATGTAAAGTGCTCCAGGGCATTATTATATGTGAAGGACACTACATAAATGCAAGATTTTGCTGGGGTGAGTGAAATGAAGGTAAGCATGAGAAGGAATGCATATGAGAGGGAGAGGTAAGTGTGAGGAGGGGATATGGGGAAGGTGAGTAAGTATGAGAGCGAAGGTGAGTGTAAGAAGTGAGTAAGAAGGACTGGCTCTGGCCTCCTGCTTGTCCACCATCCCCTCCACTGCACCCCGAAACTTTGCAACTCTGTCCCCCCAATCCCTCCTCCGTTCTTTCCCCATTTCCAGATCGTACCTGAAGACATTCCTCTTCGGCCATGCTTACAGTCACCTCCCCCCGGCTGGGCGTCAGGCTCCGCCACTGTGAAGCGTTGCGAGACTCTACCGCAAATGAAGGGCGCTATATAAATGCAAGTTGTTGATGAGAAAGAGGAGAATGAGTGAGTGAGAGGAGATTGTGAGTGAGTAAGAAGGAGAGGGGGGAAGAGATAAGTGGGAGAGATAAGGGGGTGGGTGAGTGAGTGCAGGAAGAGGGAGTGGGTGAATAAGTGGGAAAGGTGAGCGAGGAACTGCGAAGGGGAGAGTGAGTGAGTGAGTGGGTGTTTGGAATGTGCAGTGAGAGAGCGTGAAGGTGCGGAGAGTGAGGTGAAGGTGCGGAGGATGAAATGGGCGAGTGTGAAGTGAAAGGAAATGAAGCCAGGATCTGGGCGGCTGTCAGGCCTCTGGCGCTGTTGCTAGGAGACGGCCAGTTGCCTACGAAGCAGCAGCCGCCGCCATTTTGTGAGGCTGAGTTAGCGCGCGGGGTGAGTGACGGTTGGTGAGCACTCCCCGCCCCCCCCCCCCCCCCCACCCCACGGCTCGCGTGAGGGGACAACGCGCTCCGCTCGCCGCCGCCACCATTACAGGACGGAGCGCTAGAGAGAGAGAGAGAGAGAGAAGCTTCGTGGAGAGGAGCGTTGTGGCACTGGCTTCCCCCCCCCCCACCCCCGGCCTTACCTCTTGGTGTATGTGCGATGGACGGGTGAGTGAAGCGGTGAGGGAGAGGGAGATGGGCCCTGGTCGGGGCCCCCCAATGGCGGTGGTTGTTGTCGGGAGTCTCAATGGCTGGTTGAAGTATGGAGGACGGACTGACTGGCGGTCGAGTCGGGCGACTTGTTAGTGCGAGCGGTGATTTCCTGACTCGAGGCTCAGCGGCTTCTCAGATTGTTTTTATCATCTTTATATATATATATATATATATATAAAATCTATACATACAGTTGAGTAAGGTATATACTGGTGGCGTTCTTGTCGATGAGTTTATTATGTTGCGTTTTGTGCGCACACACACGATGCTTTACTTCGAAGAAAAAAAACGTCAATTTTATTTTTTTGCGGGGGGTTTTTTTTTTGAAAAAAAAAGTATTTTTTTTTGTGTGGGGGGGGGGGGGGAGAGGGAGAGAGGGTGTGGGGGAGATCGAGGCTATCGTGCTGGCTGGAGGATTTTTAAGGAAAAAAAAATTTATCTTTCTTCCTCCCGCACAAATGAAAGTGTGCGTAAAACTCGCTGTCGCAGATCGCACCTTTTTTTTTCTGGGGGGAGGGGAGGGGGGAAATCTTCGCTTAAATCGAAAGTTGATCGGAAGGATAACGCAATGGTGGGGGGGGGGGGGGGGGGGTGTCACGACGAACGATTGAAGAAAGGGGAGTTACTCGATCGATCGCCTGTTTTTTTTTTCATGTCGTCTTTCCCTGAGTTTCGTGTTGTTTTTCTTTCTTTCTTTCTTTCTCCGCCGCCGCCCCCATCAGATGGTGGTGGGGGGGAGTTAGTTTACTGCTTCACTGTTTGCCTGGTGTCTGCCCTTTTGTAAAGAAGATGGTCTTTCAGGTTGTGTGTTAGGCTGTATGGCGGCGAGGAGGATGTAGATGGCATACAACGTTGCCAAGTTGGCAGGAAAGGATTAGTAAGGAGAGAAACTTGATTTGTTTCCCCCCCTCCTCCTTCTACCTTCATCTCTGATTTCTCCCTTTTACTTTTTTTTTGTTGTTGGAGGGGGGGGGGGGCAAAAGTCTATTTTTTTATTTTAAAAAGAACTCGTGAAAGAATGCTGCAGTCCACACACAAAGCAACCCTTCTCATACTCTCTCCCCTTTTTTGAAAAAATCTTATTTTTTTTTCACGAAACATTTATCCTACCTCTTTCTTTTAATTTCATTGTACTGCTGTGGATGAGTAACTTGCTTTCTAACTTTTTTTCATATGTTCTCTTTTCCCCTTTTCCTTCCACACAGCATTGTCACAGATCTTATAGCAGTCGGTTTAAAGGTAGGAATCTTTTCTCTCCTTTCAACTTCACTTTTTTTTCTGTTTTAATTTCGTGTATTCCTCTTGTATATTTTTAAAAGAGTTTAATCTTAAATCTCTTGACTTTTTAAGTGTTTCATTGTACTGTTGAATGGGTTTCTTTTCTCCTTCCAGCTCAGTTTCACAAGTTTCTGGTAGGGCCACTATTTCTGCAATAGCCTCTCAATCAGTGTTAGCATTAGCAGAAATGGAGTAGTTCCTCTTTACTATATGATCACGAGTCCTAAAGACCTCTAAAATAATGGCAGATGACAGTCACGTTTTTTTGCTGAAGCCGTTGGATAATTAGATGCAATTGAAAGCTCAAAAATAGGAAGTCCAGTATGTGTGGATCTTGTTTTCTTTGGGAAGGACCTGATGTTTTATGTCCTGTTTGCCTTGATCCTCTGTGGGCTCATTGTTGGTCTGTTTCCATGTGCTTAGTGCATCTGAAACAAAACAAGCTGTTTTAATGGTCTTTTTCTCTCTCACAGAACGAGTAGTTTCTTTGGATTGCTACCTTTATGAAGTAGTTCTGGTGCTATTGAGAATATTTTAAAAGTTTTTTATGGGAAACATTTAGTGTGCATTTTCAGGTTTGACTGAGGAGGTTATTCTTTGGGGCTAAATATATTTAGTACTTTGCTATTTTAGGTCATGATTGTTTTCTTTGGTCTTAATAACCTCACTAAATTAGTTTATACTCTGATAAATTAATGTATACACATGAGCTATTACACTTTGGATAGCTCATATAGGTATTTTGCAAAACAGTGGGGTTCAGAAAACCACATTAGCTTTTCTAAATGAAGCTTGAACAATTTATCAAGAACTCAAAATTTGTAGCAGCTTTGAAACATGTCTATTTGTTATATTGTGCATATTGGGAGCAAATTTGAGTTTTTTTTGGCCAATCAAAATTTTATCAACATTTTTTTCACTCCAGATTAAAGGAAATGTTTTAAATAAACCTAGCATTTGGTATAGCACCTTTCACGATGAGAGGATGTCTCAAAGTACTACACAGAACATACTGTAAAATGTAGTGACTGCTTTGTCGTTGAAATATTTAGGACTGTATATAATAATCCTTGCATTTGATATTGCACCTTATTACGCCTTTGAGGTGTCGCAAAGCGTTTCACAGAATGTACTGCAAAATTAATTAACTGTAAAAATTTTGTGGGCAAAATGCAGCAGCCAATTTGTCACAGCAGTGTCCCACAAACAGTTGTGGATTGAGTGATCAAATTATTATTATTTTTTGAAGGAATTATTACCCCCTGAAAAGCGATCCACAAATCAACCAACAACCGGGTTCCTTTTTACTGCTAGATAAACATAGGTGCGTGGAGTAAAGGAAACTTGCCCAACATTTCACCCTGCCGGGAATCGAACTCGGGTCTCTCGCTTGCGAGGCGAGTATAAAGAAGCGATCATGTCCTGAGGTTTGGAAGATTCAGAAAACTTAAAGGATGCTACTTGCTCAAACTCAGTTTAGTCTCAGCTGTTTTTGAGATATATTCGTATTTGATTTTTAAAAAATCTTCTGCCACTATGTTTTTTCATTTGGTCAGGTACTTGATATTGAGTGCAGGTAAACTGACCACTAGGAGGCAGGTAGTTGCAGCTCAGTTACTTTTCAAAGAGTAGTGTGTCTGAGGTTGGCAACTCAGTGAGGGGGAAGGAAGAAAAATAGTTGAACACGCTCTTCCAGTCTGTCACCACATGTTACTCCAATGCTACTCATTTTTCTTTGAAATGTTCTTTGCCTGGAATGTTATGCTGGCATATGCAGTCATTAATTTCAACACTGAAGAATTAATGATAGTCACAAACCACAATTGTTTCTGACAAGTTGCGTATTTATCATTTTACAGTAACTACAGAATGATTGTTTTCGTTTCATGATCTTTTGGATTCATCAAGGTAAACATATAGTCAGGGAAAGGAATAATTTAGGTTTGGCATCCAGTGTCAGCTCAAGTGGTCCTGGGAAGAGTTGCAGAATGGACCTATGTGCATTGTTTTAAATGAGTAACCTCAGTCTAGCAGTGTGAAGTTTTCCATTTACCACACAAAGCATCTTTTGGATTATTGAGTAAAATTATTTGTAATGCGGATTTATATTTGCTGAAAAATGAGCTGAAATGATCTGCCTCATTTTGTTGATAGCCCTTCCACAATTATTGCATCATAGGAACAGGTGGAAACCAAAAAAACCAGTTTGATCAGTTTATTGGATCTTTCAATACCATTTCCCTGACATTTCCCCATGCTCTTTAATAACTTTGCTCCCCAAGCATCTATCCGTAGCATCTAATCATAAAGCAAGACCGGATTCAAACACTGGACACGCAAGTGAACAAATTCTGTTTACCCTATAGTTACACTAGTCTTTATAATTTTTATTTTTGGCACTCTTATTTTGATAATGTTTGTATTTATGTACATGGTGTAGTTGTGCATGTTGCATAATTACATCAACAACAACAAGATTACATTTGTATAGTGCCTTTCACGTCGGAAGGACGTCTCCAGTTTGATACGTGCCAATTCTATGCTGAAATGTGCATCTCGCTCTTCTTCCCCTGGAAGCATAACGCTTGTGTCCCTGGTAACCTTTTTGCTCCGTTGGATTTTTCTTCCCCTGCTGTCCACTTTTGTATTAGAGCCTAATGTAGGTAAGTGGAGTTCACTTTTGCTATTGATTTTTGACTATTCCTATTCGTGTCTCTTACCCCCCCACTCCTCCCCTGTGTCCACCAGCACCCACCTCTTTCCACCAGCACCCACCTCTTTCCACCACACTCTTTTGCCCCTATTTCTCCCTCCTCCCATCATCACCCATAAGAAGCTCACCTCAACCACTTCTCCACCCAGCTGCTGGTCACCCAACTTGCTTTCTTCTGACCCCTCTAGGAGACACAGTTAACCTGGCCCCTTCGAGCTCCATCTCACTCCCCCTCAACACCGCTGTCACCACTTTTTAAAAAAAAAACTACCCTTCCTCTAACAACTCGAGCCTTTCCAGCCTGCCCACAGCACTGAGATAGCACCTGTCATAGTCACAAACCAAGTCTCCTCTCTCTCTTTGTGACCAGGTCTTCATCTGCTTCTTCGTTTTCCTAACACATTGCCCACCTACTATTGTATATGACACCCAGTGCAGCCAAACCCTTCATCCACGCATTGTCATTTCCCAACTCGATTATTCTGTTGTCCTCCTCGCCTGCCTCCCCAGCTCCACCATTCATAGAATCCAATTAATTAAAAACTCCACTGTCTCTGTCCTTACCCGCACCAAACTCTCCACTCATCACCCTAATCCCTACTAGGCTCCACTGACTCCCTATTGTAGAATTGATAGATTTGAAGATCTTCACACTCGTGCTCAAATCACTTAAAACCTTGGTAGGGACCTTTCCAACCCCAATCCACTAGCCACCACCTGTGCTTAGCTGGTTCCAGCCTTCTACACCATCTGCAGCTTTACTTTCAGCCAATAGGCCAAGAAATTATGGAACTCAATGCGTCATCCCTTCACCTTATCCCCTCTTTGCCTGTCTTCAGTTCACACCTGAAGACCTACCTCTTTGACCGTGCCTTTGGTCACCTCCCCAGCTTGGTTTCAAGCTTCGCCAGCCACTGTTAAGCGCTCCAAGATGCTACCCGCGTGAAGTGCACTAAATGAATGCATGTAATTGTTGTTGTTGATTATTCTAGCCAGATGAGCAATGGGAATCATTACAATGTTTGTAATATTAAACTGCACATCTTGATTTAAGCTCCAGGAGTACCCCTAGTTTCAGTTGGCGCTCACTGAGCTTTCAAGTCATGGCTTTTGTTGCTTTACTTTTAAGTAATGTGTTTCTTTAAGGAGAGGGCACGCTTCATGCCAGACAAACCAAACCCACAGATTACGTGGAATTCGCAGTGTAGCTTGGTTGGAGACTCATTGTGGTGATGGCTTCCAGTATGTTTTTAGATACCTGGCATTTTTTTTTACTTCCAAACATTTTATTTCCTTTGCTGCTCTGTGTTGCGATTCTTGATTATGATTGTTCATGAAACTGTGATGATTGCTTCCTTGTCCCATTTAACAGTATTCCTTCCTTAGTAATCCTAGTACAGTAGGATCTGGTTGTAACATGCTTCATTATAATGGGATTGAGTTGTGGATTCTGACTTCCTTACCTAAATAAAATAAGTTCCTGACATCACATTATCATTGCACGTCAATTACTTCAAATTTCTGAACTTTACAGAAACTTTGAAAAATGCTTTAAAACATATTTGATATTAGGTACTGTATCGCATGCAAGAATTTTATATTTTGCACAGTATCAATCCCAGGAATTGTGTCCACCATTGGCTGTACATTTAAAAATGACCCAATTGGTTTCTGTTTGGCTGAATGGGGATTGTCCTGCATCACAAGGATTTTAAAGCTGTGAGCCTCCTTGTTGGAGACCTTCTGAAAGTTGAACTGTATTCCAAAAATAAGTTCAACATGGCCTGCCTTTCAGAAATCTTTGTTTCTTTTGTTCTCGTTGCTACTGCTAGATGTACTTGAATTGCTGTTTTATGACAACAGATCTATCTCCTTGGATTATACCGCTGACTCTTCATTTGGGAATATTATTTAGCTTCCTTTGGTACTACTTTCGACATTTGGTGACATCTAAAACACAGTTTCAAGAAAAAAATACTCATCTACATCACTTATCTCTCCAGGGCAGGATCATATGAATTTTATTTGATTCTCTCCAAACCCCAAATTGTTTTGTGACCAAACGTTTCAATTTAAGCATGCCTGTAAAGTTAATTCTTCAATCATTCGTTAGCCAGCTATCTACAACAACAACAAAATTACACTTGTAAAGCGCCTTTCACGTCCCAGGGATCTGAACAGTTATGGATTAGGACCCGAGTGTAGGGGTTTCGGACGAGGGAGGGCAGGGGGGGGGTAGGAGGACGTC